GCGAGGGCCCCGCCGAGCCGCGCGGCGTCAACTGCTGCGTCTCGCTCTGCCTCGTGCCCGGCAAGCTGCAGAAGCAGCGCAGCACCATCGTCAAGAACAGCCGCAACCCCGTCTTCAACGAGGACTTCTTCTTCGACGGGCTGGGCCCCGGCCACGCCAGGAAGATGTCCCTGAAGCTGAAGGTGGTCAACAAGGGCAGCAGCCTCAAGCGGGACACGCTGCTGGGCGAGAAGGAGCTGCCGCTCACCAGCCTGCTGCCCTGCCTGTAGGGCGGGCGCAGCGCCCAGCACGGGGTGGCACGGGCCCCGCCGCTGCGGCTCCCGCCCGGTGCCGGCACGGAGGCCGCTGTGTCCCCGCTCCGGTGCCGTCCTGGTGCTGCCCCTCCAAGCCCGGCGCCCAGCGGGTGCTGGCTCCGGCCAAGGCAGTTCCCAGCACGGCCTCCCGGCCCCTGCCCGGGCAGAGGCTCCCGCAGCTCCGGGACGGCCCCTGCGCAGAGGGGTGAAGATGACCCTGGTCTTCCAGAGCCGCTCCTGGCTCCCGCCCGGCCCGATCCCGCAGGATCGTGCGGGACCAGGTGGCTCCAGGGGCTCAGGGTGCCCTGGGGGTGACACCAGGGCTGGCTGCTCCGGGCCCGTCCCCCCCGTGTCCCCCTCCCACCAGGGCTGCCCGTGCTGGGGGTGCTGCTTCCCGCGCCCCCATCACCGCGCAGCCCGTCGCAGCCGGCAGAGAGGAGAGGCGGGAGCCGCTGGCGCGGCGGCCGCCCCGGCGCGGTGCCGTGCGCCTTGCCTCTGCTGTGACCCGTTGCATGGGGCTTGTGCATGTTCCCGGGGGGCAGCGCCGGGGCGCCGCTGCCCCCGCCGCCGGTTGCTGTTCCCTCCCCGTCCTTCGCAGCAGATGGCAGGTTTTGGTGTTGGCTATTTATATCCGAGGCTGATCTTTCCCAGCGTGTCTCACGTCTGTCTGTAAACGCGCGGGGTGCCGGGGACGCGGGTGACGGCGCCGGTTCCGGGGGGACCGGCCGCAGCCATCCCGGGGAGCAGCGAGGGGCTGACGTGGATGGACAGACGGATGGACGGACGGACGGATGGATGGATGCAGCTGCGGGCGCAGCCCGGCCGGGCCTTCCCCCGCCACCCCCTGCTCTTTTCTAATGTTCCTGCTTTGATATTTCTGTGGCTGGATTTGATGATGTATTTTTGGAGTGGATAAAATATATATATATATATATATATGAATGTTTGTTTGCAGATGCCGTCTCCTTTCTAGCGCCATAAAGTCCTTCCCAAAGCAGCTGCGGCTGCTGCTCCCTGTTGCCGTGGGCAGAGCTCCCGGCCGGCGGCCCTGGGGATGCCTGGAGGCAGCAGCAATTCCCTCATCCCCATTGGAACCGAGACCCTGGCACCGACCCCTCCTTGAGGCACCTGCCCCTCTCCAGCAGCCGCAGAGGGATCTCGGAGCGGATCGCCCTGGGAGAGCAGGGTTTGGATGCAGATCCGTGGAAAAGGGCTGGTTGTGCTCGGGGGGAGGCCGGGCCCCCCTGCAGGGCACGGGCGCTGGAGCCGCGGGGCTGGGGGCATCGCGAAGCTGCAGCCGGCGGCATCGCGCCTCGTTACGTGAGTGTGAGCTGGAGCGGACGGGCTCAGCTGGAAAACAGCCCGCATCCCTGGGAAGCGCACGGGGAGTCGGGCGGATCCCATCGCATCCCACCGTCACGGGGGCAGCGTGGCCGAGGACTGGGCTTGGTTTCAGCCCGTGTTCCCACGTAGCAAGCGCTCCACCCCAGGGACGCGGGATTCGGATGAGCGGAGCCCCCTTTTCCTCCCCAAAGGGTGGGGGTTCCCAAGCGCCTTCTTCASCCGCCGCCCGGGTGCAGATCCCGAGGGGCCCGGGCGTTCCCGCCATCCCTCCCCCAAGCCCGGCTGCGGATGACTGTTTCGGTCAGGCAAAGCTTCTCCCTGTTGCTAAGCAACCCATCCCGGACCGCGGTCCGGCGCCCGCCGCGCCGCACGGCTCCGCGGGATGCGCGGCCCCCCGGCCGCCCGCTCCTGCCCCCAGCAGCCCGACCCCATCCCCGTTCCCACCGGGCTCCCGGCCAGGCCCTGTCCTCCCGCATCCCCACTGCGCTCCCATCCTCRTCCCCGTCCCTGGACCCCCGGGATCCGTCCCCGGATGCCAGCTGCAGTGCCAGAGCCCACAGGACCAGCGCTTGGCACGTGCTGGCCAGGGATGGGACACGGCCGAGGCGCCGGGCGCTGCTCCAGCAGGATGCGCCGGGCGGAACGGAGCTCGGCTGGAAGCACCAGCCGCTTCCCGGGGGCGATGGCCTCCCCGGACGCGGCTCCCGCGGCTGGTAAGCAGGCGAGCGCGGCGGGTGTGCGAGCCCGTTGGGCACCCTGTCATCCCCGGCACGCGCCCCGTAGTCCCCGCAGCCGGGGATCCCCGTGCGGGCACCCCAGTGCTGCAGCCCCGGGGCCCTCCCCGCTGCTCGGGCGGCCGCGGCAGCACCAACRGGCCGGCCGGTCCCACGGGAGCCGCGGCCTCCCCTCCGCCCGGGCTCCTGCCGGGGGCGGCAGCCGGGGCTGTGAGCAGAGCTCCCCCGGGGCCCGGGCGGGGACGGCGCTAACGGGGTCCCCGGGCGCGTGGCGTGGGGAAACGCGGGGCTGCCGTGGGGCTGGCGCCGAGCGGCTCCGGCGCGGTGGGCAAGGGCGCTTGGGCCTCCCTGCTCTGTGCCATCCCCAGCGCCCGGCTCCTTCCTCGCTGCTGCTGCAGCGCGGAGCGCTGCCCCGGAAAGGGCTGCAAAGTGCCCTGGGCCTCGGACAGGCCCGGGTGGAGGAGGATGAAACGGGAGCAGGGAGCGGGCGGGAGGGCTCGTTACCCRCTGGCAAACGCCCGAGCGTTGGCGCGGACGGGGGTCCCGGTGCCGCGGGGGCCGGAGGCTCCTGCCCGAGCAGTGCTGCCGGGGAAGCGGCGGCTGCGGGATGCGGCGGGAGCTGGAGCGGATCCCGGCGCCGCCAGGCAGCCTGGCATTGCCACGGCCACGAGCGGCGTGGGGCCGAGGCACCCGCAGAGCCCGAGGCSCCGGCACCCGCAGCTCCCGTCTGCAGCTCCGTGCGGGCCCCTGCGCCGCTGCCGGGGCGCCCGCGCGGGGTTCCCGTCACCATGAACCCCGTCCGTGGCACCGGACCAGCGCCGGCACCACCCCGGCACTGCGCCGCGCTGCCGGAGCGCCGCCGGTTCCGGATGCGCCCGGCTCGGCACGGAGCCGCCCGCGGGGGCCGGGGTCCCAGCGCCGCATCCCCCGCCTCCCGCCGCCGTCTGCCACCGCTCGCGCTCTCCGCCGCAAACAAACCGGCAGCCGCCGTCTGCTCGGCAGCTCCCGCGACCCCRGCCGCTTTGGGAGGCACCGGGGGCAGCGCCGGCCCCAGCGCCCCGGCAGCCGGGCCCCACAGAGCCCCCGCCGAGCGCGGGACGGGCACGGTGCCGTGCACGGGACGGCTCCGCACGGGGACAGCGCGGGGCACGGGGACAGCTCTGGGGACAGCCCCGTGCACACAGGCCTGGCTCCGTGCAAGCTCTGGCTCCGTGCACGGCGCCAGCTCCATGCCCGGGGCCGGCTCGGGGCGCGGGGCCGGCCCGCTGCCCGCTCCCCGCCACATGCTGCACGCTGCCTAGAGTTTTAATTGCACCACGCAGCTTTGATTCCCGGTTTTAATTGCATCCTAACGAGCCTGGGGCAGCAGGAGAGGAAAACATCAAGCTTAAGGGAAACAAATGGGGAGAGAAAAGAACATTTACTGGTGACTAATCGGTGCGCGGATCGGTGCGCTTGCCTGCCGCGGCAGAGGACGGTGCCAGCGCCGGGGGCGCCGCGTCCCTGCCCGGCGCTTGGCTGCCGGAGCGGCCGCTTTGCCGGGGGGCGGCTCCGCGCGCGGCCGGTGCTGACGCTGCCACCCCCGGTGCCGGCCCAGGCGGCCAACGTCCCCACGGAGCGACCCCATCCGTGGGATGAAACTAGTTCAAGAGGAGAGGGCGCTCGGGGGCTATCCGGAGCCGGGACGGCGACGGGACGCGGACGGGATGGCGATGGGATGGGGACGGGATGCGGATGCGGATGCGGATGAGGATGCAGATGAGGATGCGGCCGAGCACAGGGCGCTGCCTGTCCTGCCTCTTGCGAGGACTGAGCTCTTGCTCYGAGCAATCCGGCTCGGAGCGCCTTGGAAAACGGCACTACTAATAAGACAAGAAGAATGACAGCAAATAACCCGGCGCGGGAACGGGGCCGCGTTTCATTCCCCCGCACTCTCCCCCTTCGCTCCTCTGCCGACGGCTCCAAGCCGCTCTAATAAAAATATTAAATAATGCGAAGGCGCCGGAGCCCCCACCTCGCACGGCAGCCATGGTAACTGGAGCAAGGGGACACCTGTACATTTCCATTCCGGGCTCCGGCTCCCCGGATGCGGCGCTAATTAAAGCTGCGCGGGCGGCCGGGGCGCCGGGAGGACGTGCGGGCGGCGCCGGGGACGGCGCCGGTGCCGCTGACCCCGCGTGGGGCGCGCGGCCGGGGGCAGCCCCTGTGCGGGGCGGGGGCCGCGGGGACCCCCCGGCCATTCCCCGCTTAGGTTTCCACCGGGAACTTGCTCCTTTTGGTGCAAAAAGTTGCTCTCCCCCGACCCCGCTGCAGCCTGTCCCCCCCATCCGCCATCCCGCCGCTCCGGTGGCTCCCGCTCCGCGTGTCCCCGGGTCTCCCGGGACCCCCGTGTCTCCCGGGACCCCCGGCCCCTCGCGGTGCTGCCGGCAGCAGCTTCGGCACCGCCAGCTCCAGCTGCGGCTCCCRGCTCCCTGCCGCTACCCGCGCACACGCCTGTGGATTTCATTTCCATATTCATGGCGTTTTAATGACCTTGTCATATCTTTATGTTCTGCAATTAAATGGGGAAGCTTTTTCCCTTCCCCAGATCAGCATCTGCCCGGGCTCACCCGCGCAGGCCGCGCACGGCCGCTCTGCACCGCGGGGACGCCCGTGGTGCCCGTCCCGCGCGCGCCGGCGCAGCTGCAGCGCGTGCAGCACCAGTGCATGCAGCACCAGTGCATGCAGCACCACACACAGAGCTTGCGCGTGCAGCATCCATGCAGGCAGCACCCGCACATGCAGCATCCGTGGATGCAGCACCCACGCATGCAGCACCCATGCGTGCATCACCGTGTGCGCATCACCATGCATACATTACCGTGTGTGCATCACCGTGCACGCATCACCGGGTGTACA